ACTTGTCATTTAAGAGGAGAAAAAGATACTGGCAGAATGCTGTTAGCAGCACATCGCCAAGAGGGTAAACTTACCCTGATGCAATCGGAGCAATTCCCTTGGAATTAACTCCAGCTGGTCTGCAGCCAGCCCAGAGGAAATCTTTTGGGCTTCAGTTAGCAATAAACCTTGCAAACCATTACTCTTTCAAAGACTAAAATCGATAGCTGAGGATACCAGTCATATTTGGGGTTTTGCTTCTACTTGAGCCCCTAGGAGTCCAATATACACTTTAAATACATGCTGACGTGGTTAGGAGGGCTGGGCAGGATTTTCCTGCCTGCCACGCTTTTGCCAGAGACACCCCAAGCAAAGCCTGGGGCCGCACACCCAGCCTGAGCCCCAGCGTCCCCTTCCTTTGGCCACTCACCTCCTCTTCCTTCTGTTTCAGGGAGTTTTCGGCCTCAGAGATACTTTGATTTCATGCAAACTATTTATTGCTAGCAAAAGCAAAGCAGATGCCAACAGTTCCTCAGCCAGGGCCATGTCCTGCCTCTCCAGGCCAGCTTTGCCCTCGGCCGCTTCAAGCTGGCTCAAGCTTTGAGAGCTCGAGAGCTGCAGCCACAAAGGGCAGAGAGCGATGGGGCAGCCAAGGGGATCTGGAAGCCCCTGGGATGCAGCAGGGTCAGAGCAGCAGCTCCCCCGTGATCCCACATCCAACAGTGACGCTGATGCATCCACGCCCGACAGCAATGCCCATGCACCCCTCTACAAGCCTGCGACGGAGGGCAGAGCCCACCCGGGATCCTCCAGCACCCACAAGTACCCCAAGCACCCAGCCAACCCGCACTGCTCTGCTGCTCCCCACACAGCCCTAGTGCAGGGATGGTAGAGGAGGAGCCCAGCCCCCATCAGCCTTCCCCCAAACCGCATAAAAGGACCGTGCCACCTCCCTCGGCGGCTGGGCATGGCACAAGACAGGCACCGTAAAGCAAAAAGCAGACTTGCCAGCATCGCTGTATTTATTTTCCACTCCAAAGCAAGCCACGCCAATTTTACAGACACGCTCTCCAGGCAACCACCTGACATTAAGGCATTTTTTAAGACAATATAAAACATTTTCCCCAGCTGCAGCTCCCATCCCTGGGGCTGCCTTCACCCACAGCCTCAGCGCAGCGTCACCAGCTCTTCAGCAGAAGTGGGGTGAATGGCGACGGTGTTGTCCAGGTCAGCCTTGGTGGCCCCCATTTTGATGGCCACGGCAAAGCCCTGCAGCATTTCATCGCAGCCCAGCCCTTGCATGTGCAATCCTACCACCTTTGGGGAAGAAGGGAGATGGGCAGATGGGACCCAGCACTGGTAGAATCCAGGCTGAACGCAGGGCTTGGTGCTGGGGGAGCTGGATCCCAGCCCAAGACCCGATCCAAGCAGGTCAGAGCTGACCATGCAGGGACAAGAGGACAGCCAGCCATGGTCCCCGCCACCCCCCTGCAGCGCTCAGTGGTCCCCCCATGGTCCCCTCCCTGCACCTTCTCCTCCTTGCCAGCGCACACCAGCTTCATGACACACTTAACCTTCCTCTGGGTGACGGCGTGGTACAAGGGGGTGAAGGACGTGCTGTAGATCTTCACGTTCTCCCTCCCGTGCATGGCCACAGCTTCGTCTGCAGCAGAAGACACGGCACGGAGGTCAAGGGGATGCACCATATACATGAGGCATTTACAGAGAGGGAGCCAAAGCACATTCTGCAAGGCTCAGACCGCTTGCCAGAGGTCAGATAATTTTCTCCAGCACCAAACCAGCAGCTTTGAGCCACAATGTCCACAGCCTTTTCGCCACCCCCCTGCCCAACCCTGCCATGCCCCCTCCATCCTCACCTTCAGTGAGGCCCACAGTGCCGATGGGCGGGTGGCTGAAGACAACAGTGGGGATGTCGTGGTAGTCCAGCCGGGAGTCCTGTTTGCTTTCAAAGAGCCTGTGGGCCAGCTTTCTGCCAGCTGCGATGGCCACTGCAGGGAGGGGACAGGGAGCCTGAGCTGCGGGCACAGCGGGGCACCGAGGGGCTGGGGAGGGGGGCACAGCTGTGGTACCTGGGGTGAGGAGGGCTCTCCCGCAGACGTCCCCAACGGCGTAGACCCCTCTCCTGGTGGTGTTCTGGTACTCGTCCACCACCACATGGCCCTTGGCGTCCACCTGCACGCCCTGCCGTGGGAAACAGCAGATGCCTCGGCATGTGCCCCAGGAGGACAAGCAAAGCCCACGGGGGACCTGTGCCGGTGGCTGCCATGTTCCCAGCTGGAACCATCCTGCGGCAGGCTCTGGAGATCCATGGGATCCCCAGAGACCTGCAGGCATCCTCGCACCAGCGCAGAAGGGACGTGCTGCCATCTCACCACTTGGTCCAGGCACAGCTCCTCGGTGTTGGGCTCCCGCCCCACGGCCCACAGCAGGCAGTCAACATCCCGGATTACTCCCTCTGTTGGCTTGCGGCCAGGCACCGAGGAGGTCACTGTCACATCCAGCAGCCCACAGGGAGACTTTGTGACTGTCTTGACCTGCAGGGAACAACAGGAGCCACAGGGGAGAAGGTGCTGATGGCTTTTGCCTTGCAACAGGCCATGGCGGCCGCACTGCAGAACCAGGGATGCCACCAAAGCTGTGGCCTGGCAAGCAGTGCCCAAAACGCTGGCTTTCCCCCCAGCCCTGCCTGTCCAGGAGGGATGGGACAAGCCAGGGGGCTGCTCTGCACGCCTGTACCTGTGTGTGCTTCCAGACATCCACCCCGGTGTTCTCCAGCTCCTGGGTGCAGTTCGAGCTGATCATGGAGTCAAAGGTCCTCAGGACCTGGGCAGGGACCCACCAGCCCCATCAGATGAGGGTCCGCAGGCGAAGGCACCGCCTGGCAGCCCTCTCCACCAGCATTTCCCTGCACCCATGCCCCATCCAGGCCCAGATAGGTTTGTGGTGCTTCTGGTTAATGACAAAATTCTCCTCTGTTTTTCCTTTTTGGGTTGGTTTTTTTTGTTTGTTTGTTTTTTTGGTTTTTGGGGGGGGGGGGGGGGGGGTTTTTTGGG